CTGGAGAGAGCATGGCCCTGTTGGCACCTTGGTTTTGGCCCAGTAAAACTACTGTTGAACTTCTGGCCTTTAGCACTGTAAGAGAATAAATTCCTATTGTTTTAAGCCACCAAGTGTGTGGTAATTTGTTACGGCAGCTCTAGAAAATCAGTCACAACCACCAGTCACAAATCTGCAGCGAGGGCCTATTATAGAGGTGACCCTGTGCCAGGAGCTGAGGATTCAGCTGGAAAAAGGAGAGTCATGATCCCTCCCCTTGGGGCCATGAGAGGTAGTCATCAACTAAAATTAAAATTTAGTCTAATCTGCAGCTATTTATACATTTTGCCAGAGAAGTATGTAAAAATAAAAATACCTGATTGCCTAGGAGAAGGGATGAAATGTCTTTGCAGTCGCAGTTGAGGTACATGATATTAAAATGCCCCATCAGTTTTTGTCACAAAAGGCAGTTTATTTGGTAGAAAAATTGTGTTGCTAGGCGATTCGTGGGGGGATGGACTTTCTGAATGATTTTTTTTTTTAAAGATTTTATTTATTTGAGAGAGAGGATGAGAGGAGAGAGAGAGCACATGAGAGGGAGGAGGGTCAGAGGGAGAAGCAGACTCCCTGCTGAGCAGGGAGCCCGATACTGGACTCGATCCCGGGACTCCAGGATCATGACCTGAGCCGAAGGCAGTCGCTTAACCAACTGAGCCACCCACGCCCGAGAATGATTTTTAAAAGAGCTCAGATGTTGATGGCATCTCTGTGTGGTCACTTGCTATGTATTATTTTATATAATACACTTAGCAATTCTGCATTTTCATTTTAGGAAGAAGGTAAGGATGAGAGATACTGAATGACTTGCCCCAAGGGCAAGACAGGAAGTGGTATGTGCTGGCTTGTCATGCTCATCCTGGTTTTGTTCTTTTAGAACCCTTAAGAAAGCCTGTTAATCAACAGTTGACTCTGCTTCAACATACTCTCTTCTCAGCATGTGGCACAGACTGACCCAGGACTAGGCCTGGTGGGTGGAGAGCCAGTCAGCTCCATATTGACCAAGCCTAACCCTGGAAGCCAGATGGTGTATCTAAACTCCCGTTTGATAAGGGCTCATAATCATGCACAATTTTTACATCAATGATTAATTGGCAGCCCACTCACCCAGCCATCCGTGTACATCTAGCATAAGCAGGAAAGGTTCAGAAGCTCAAAAGCATCTTTGTGACTTCGTGATGGAATGATTCCTACTCTGATTGGTGAAAGGATATGGCGAGAGTTCATTCAGATTGCTGATACTCAACTAAGTGAGGGCCAAGCCATTTATATTCTCTTAATGAGCACTATTTAATTATTGCATTTAAAAAGTGTATTTGTTTAAGATGATCCACCTGAAGTACAAATTTATGATTTTGTAGTTCAAACACCATTTCAATTGTTGACTTAGTGGAAATTTTTCCTACTAGATTAGCAACAATGATTTGCTTCCAGAACGTTTTGTAATTTAGAAGTAGAGCATTACATGTACAGGAAAATTAAATCAGCTGGATAATTAGAACAGCTGAGAATGAAAAACAGCACATCCTGACCATCACTGGGGAATGACTGTGACACCCCCGCTCATCAGGATTATGTAGGATCAGAGTGTGCTGGGCCCATTGCACGTCCAGGGCTGGATGCTGCAGCTTCCTTGCTTGTGGCTGGTGGGGCCGGAAGAGGTTTGCATGGATCAGTTGCCATGTCTGCAGAGACTCAGGCACACTCACCTCTTCATCTCCCATTAGAGGGGCTAGACAGCTGGTGTCTAACACATTTTCCTCTATTCATTTTGATATAATCTAGAAGTTATCTGATTTAGGTGGAAATGGGGAGAGATGGGTTTTGGTCAAATAGAAAAGATATTCCAGAGAGGACCTGCACAGCATGTTACAGATACACAACATTAAACCAACCACAAGGTAAGTAGGGCACCTGTTACTGTGTCAGCAGTGGGTCTTCCTGTACTAGGAGAGGGTACTGCAGTATTTGGGACTATTTGGTTGACCCAGCTAAGCGGGGCCTTGTCTCTTGCACCTTCAGAAAATAAACTAGAAAGCTCAATTTCCTTCTGACTCTCTGCCCCTTAATAGCCTCTGCCTAGAAATGCTTTTAAACCTGCACTACTCTCTGGAAGGGGGTTCCAGGGATGGACAGCCAGATGCATCTGGGCAGGGAAGTGGGCTAGGAAATGGAGACAGTCCTCCTGTCTTAAAAATACTTGAACTGTGTACCCGATGGAATAATTATACTTCTGCAAACCTCGACTTTCAAACAAGAATAAAAAAGGTGGTAGCTATATAGGAAGAGCTGGGTGCTAGGGAAAGCTTTTATAGCTGCTTTATCTGGTCTCTGAAAAAAATGTCCTAGATGATACAGTGATTCAGACAAGGTAATCTTTACTAGAACTCAGTACACAGCAGCTGGTGGTAGACGTGGCTTCAGGATTAGAGCAATTCAATCAACGCCAGAGCCCTTCTTGATTTAGAAGATTAAGGCGTGAGATTGGAAATGACAAGGGAATAGAGTTGATTCCCACCTCAACCCAACCCTAGAAATGCAGTCTCAGTGGAAGGAAATGGGTCCTAATCCCGCATCCCGTCTCAGCAGGTGGTATGAAAAAAGTAATTTGTATCTCTTTGGAAGAAAAACGGTCCTGAAATTGTAAAGGCTGTAGAAATTGACAATGTCCTAAATCAACGTATGTATATAGAAGTTCACCCTTGGGTTATATTAAAATTTTTAAGGTTGTATTCATGAAAAAATGATAGAAGACGAATTTTTTAATTTGTCTTGTGCTTGACTGAATTCTTCCTGTATTTAGTGGATAATACTGAAGGTGATTTCCCACTTTTTCAAAATGGTCTAACACATGATTTGTAGAGAGACTAACTAAGGCCACAGTAGTCCATTTTAGGACAGGGCAAATGTTTAAAGGAAAAAAGTTTTCTTATTAAAGTTGCTTAATAAGCCTATATTCTGGAATCCCAATACTCTGTTCCAGAACGTGTGCGTAGCCATGGCCTAGAGCCACCCGTGGGAGAAGTGCCTTGCGAACTTCCACACATGTAAATGCACCCTCAAGAGCAATCTACCTGCACCTCTCTCCCAAGGGATTATAACCTTATTTACAAATAAAGTCTTAAAGTGGACAGTTGGGAACTGGAGCCGTGGTAAAGGTAAGTGGGTTTTCCAGAGGTTTAATCTTGCCCTTAATAGTTGGTCCTTTATTTGAAGCTTTTGCTTGAAGGATGTGGTCTCTCCCTTAGCTGGACTTGAACTATTCTGAGGGCTGTCGGTGTCCATGCTCTGGTTGGTCTCTAAGCTATTCTTTGCTAGGCTTTAGGCTGTCAAAAAAGGTAACCGCCCTCCAGAGGAATGGTAGGTACTTTGAGAGATGTTCTTCCTTATTTCTGGACCTCAGGAGGGTGTTCTCAAAGTCAGGTCCTCCTGTAAGGGCAGAGGAGATAAGCTGCTCCAAGCTGCAGAAATCGCTCTTTGGGTTCTGTCCGCTTCCATGCTGGACACTGCAGAAGCCAAGAGGCTGAGCTGCCTGGCGGCCTCTGACTGCCACACAGGGCAAAGCCCAGAACCTGCACAGCCCGCTGTGCCTTTCCAGTGTGCAGTGACATGCTGACTCATCCCTGGCTGTCCCTGTGAGACAGGAGTTATAAAAAGACTACATAATAGGAAAGGATGCAGTGTCTTAGAAAAAGAGTGTCTTCAGGTAATTTGTTGAGTACGGTATGAGTATAAAAGGGCTTTGCAGCAGAATTATTCTGAGAATTGTAAGGCGAAGACAAGTCCTGTGCAGTCTAAGGGCTGCCCTGTAGAACTTTCTGTGGTGGTAGAAGTGTTCTATATATGCACCATTCTGTATGGTAGCCACTAGACGTATGTGGTTACTGAACACTTGACATGCGGCTAGAGACTGAGGAATGGAATTTTATTTTATTTAAGTTTAGATGGCTACATGGGGTTGGTCGCTAGTGTACTGGATAGCACAGGTATGAGAGAATACACCTTTGTATACACTTTGTTACTGTTTTATTCATTTTATGTGAGGGGTTTTTTTTTGTAAAATTTGTGTATAAAACTGCTTTTGACTACATCTACTCCAGGCACTTAAAACCATGTCTGCAAAACTATGTCCACTTGCTGCCCATGTTGTGTTCTGAGCCTTGGGAATTTTTGCCCTCAAAGGAGAGTGCCCTATGATTGGTATTTGGTGCAATCAGATATGCACTCTCCTCCCTGACGGGTCAGCCTGGATACACTTTCTCCTGAGTCCCCATCAGGACGGTGTGAACTTCCCTGTGATACCTCAGCTGCGGCTGAGCTCACATCTCTGACGAGAGCTAAGTCCACTTTGCAATAAAGCTTTATAAAGCACTATTTTGGTTCCTGTGCTGCTTGTTCTCACCATGGCGCCCTCTGGTTGGTCCTCCCTACTGCAGTTCACCTTATCATCCAGGAAGCCCGCTCACAACCGATTTTATCTGCGTGAAACTAGCTGGGTGGATATCGAAGACAACCAGTTAGATGGTCTTTCATTCCGTGTGCTACATGTACCACAGGTGGGTCCTGGGCAAGGCCTGGGTGCTAGGTGCTATAAAAAAATGTAAGAATGGGTTATCGCAAAGATTACATATCTGAAACCACAAATCAAGGCATATGATCTGATAAAAGATTTTGAGCCACAGCCAGTGAGTGACAAGAGGCCGTCGGGGAGATAATGTTTGGATGCCAAAACTTTGGAGTATCAGCCACAGATTTTGTTATGGCAGGGTCTTCAGATAGAGGTGGTCTGGGAGCTGAACTAAAGTATCCTGCTTCTAAAATAAAGAAGTGGCTGCCTTTTCACAATTTCCATAAACATTTAAATTAACAGCATTTCACAGTGTTTTTTTCTTATTGTTTTGCTTGGTTGTCTGTTCCTACTGGTCTATCCTGGACTTAAGTATGAGGCAGCTCTTGATTTAGCACAAAATTATGTATTAATTGATTTGAAGTTTAATCCTTTAATGGTTAATGGAGTTCCACACCAAGCAGCATGGCTTGCCAAAGTAACACACAGTCGTTATCTCAACAACCACTGAAGATAGGAAACAAGGCAAGATGACCCAGGGTTCCTTGAGTGGTACCGCTGTGTGGCACTCTGCCCCAGGGAGGGCTCTGCTGCTGGACTAGGCTGCATGGAGAACTCTGAGGTGGAGGAGACTGGAGCAGGACCTTGGGAGGCAGAGCAGGGACATCTGGCCTGCACTGGCAGGTAGGAAACCATGCTCGTGTTTTGGAAGGAAAGTGAGTGGATCAGAAGACAGAACCAGATGGCCCATAAAGGAATGGCTAGAGACAAAGGTTGGAGTCGCATTATAAAGGAAGACGGGAAAAAGAAGGGACTATTCGGATTTCTCACCAATGAGCTGATTTAATCTTCACAATAGCTCCATATTAGAGGCTGTGTATTAACCAGGGCATGCTCAGCTAGAAAAACAATCCAGTCTGGGTTAGCTTAAACCAAAGAGAATTCATCACAAGACCCAAAGGGTTAAAGTATAGTCAATTTAAATTGGTATCCTCCTACTGTCCAGTGACCTGCAATCAGGGGGCCAGAGTTCTACTACACAAATATGGCTACTTAGGGATGCTATGTGTCTGAGTGGGTACTGCATTCAATAGGAAACAGAATAAATATTGTAATCCTTAGAGCAACTGTTAAAAATGTAATGCAAAGAACTGTAACTTAAAAACCAATAGGTAAGTTAAAATGGAATTATTTAAAAAATTAAAATTGGAAGGCCAAAGACCAGATGTATAGATATGCTTGGTCTTAAGAACTGCTTAAACTGGGTGACGTATCCATGGGTTCATTATTCTACCTATCTTTGTAAATATTTAAAATTCTCCATAATAAAAGGTTTAAAAAATACTATTCACACAGGGTCCCTTGGTCCTTCCGTTCCAATCATCGTACATGCTTTTCTAGATGAAAAACAGATTTAGAGTTCTTCTCCATGCAGTGAAAGCACAACCACTTAGACCCACGAAGTAGAAAGCTTCAGATTTGGTAAGCGTTATTGTCACAATTACAGTTGAGTAAGAGTCCTGATATTTCCTTGCCATTTTGATTTAGTGGGTCTGGAGTGGGATTTGAAAAGGTATCTGATTTTCTACACACAAGTCCAGTGACACTGATGTATGTTCAAGTTTGGGGAGGCACAGCTTCAAGGGATAGATCCTATGGGTTATTATGTGCAAGTAGCCCCCCATCAGTCCTGTCCTTGGCTTGGGGACTTCCCTGCTATAGGACTCAAGCAGCATGAGGATGTGGCACTTTATGCACAATCTTAACTACATCAGTGCATCCTGAGGCATTCTGCCACTTATTCTCATTTTGTGATTCCAGCATAGTTATCTTTTTCTTGGGCAGCTGATATACAGTAGAACCTCTTGCCATTTAAATTGCTTTAGTTTCGAAACATAAATCTCATGGGTGAGTTTTCTCCCCACGTAGCACACTCCGCTTACAGGTTGTCTGTGTCTTTCACCAGGAGAGCTCCCTTCTTCCTTCTTGGGGGCGGCTTCACAGGCACATGGCCAGAGTCAGCACAGAGGGCCCCACACTTAGTGGGCCTCACATGTGGTTGAATGCTCTCCTGTCACTGTCTGAAGTTCTTAATTTTGTCTTTGAACTTGTGTTTTTTAAGTGAAGTCTGGTAAGACAAAGGCAGGCACACAGGAGCAGAGGAGATCCATGCAGTGTGTCCGCTGTTCCCCATCCCCCCATTCACTTAGCACCGTTGTGATGCCTGCGTGCACAGAATTCCAGCAGACCCACCATGGCCCGGTTGAGAAGAGATTCCAAGCATAAGCAAGTTATTCCTACAACTGAGTAAGTGTGGGCACTGAGAGCCCCAAGAGGCCGTGCTTTCTATTTGAACCAGACTTGATTTGAATGTGAAAAGAAGGTAATGGCATTCTAAGAAGCATGAATGACTGCGGAACCTAGTCATATCTTTTTTCTACTCATGTTACTTTTAAGTTTTTATTTTACTCGTGTCATTTTCCTTCGTTAGCCACCCACATCTGCTGAAAATGATGACTTAGGAAAAAAGAAAACATAGGGCAGCTCCTAGTTTTTCTTTTAGCCCTTCCTTACTCATCAGTAAGCTGCAAGAGTGTTGATAGAATGTGTACGTATCAAGAAGTGAAATAATAGTTGAGCGAGGTTTTTTTTTTTGCAGTGTTGCCTAATAAGGACAAAATACATATATATACCACATATATACATAAGCTATGAAATGTAACTTGTTTAATTTTGGTGATTCTGCATGAGTTCTCTGCTCTTCTAGTTGCATTTAAAACTGGAATGGTGTACTATAAAGAGGAATAAAATTAATGCTAATGATTTAGAATTTAAATTTTTCGTTACTTAGGACAGCACTAAGTAGCAAGTAAAAACCCACAACAAGATGTGAGAGAGACCATGGAAGAAAGGGAGAACATTTTAGTACTTTTAATGGTACTACTTTCCTAATTTTTGGACACGAGGCCCCCCATCTTTGTTTGGCACCGGGTCCTGCACTCAGGTAACCAGCCCGGCTCTTCACTGCTCTCCTTACCTTTGCGGAGCCCCCTCCTTCTCTATTCTATAGCCTTTTGAGGACTGCCAGTGACACGAAGGGCAGTGCTGCACTCCGGTTCCTCTGCGGCTGTTCCTGTGAAAACTAGCACAGGGCCAGGACTGACTCCAAAGGGATTCAGGCGATGCATCGGCACGAGAGGCTGGCTTGCGCAGTAGACGGTGACCCGCCTGCCCAATCCCCTTCTACCTTTGACTGGTCTTGGACCAGCAGCCACATGCTGGACTCACTGATCTGGTGCTGTTGGCTCTCCCTTTCATTTGATCAGTCTGGCAGAAAAATTCTTCTAATAGACTAAACTTGAGCTGTTATCCTTGATAGCTTGGTCCCTCTTTGTCCCTTTCTGCCACTCCATGAATTGCTGAGAGCTGGGAGTAGGCAGGGCAGGTGGAAAGCTCTTGTCAACAGTGGTTTCATAAGAACTCTTTATGCGGAGTCCTGTAAAACAATGCTTGGGAGTTTGTTTTTTGTTTTTAAATGGTTCAAGTAGAGAATTACCGCCTTTAAAAAAAAAAAACAAAACTAAGATAATTTTGGCAATGTATAAAACATCACACTGCAAAACTGGAAACAACAAATTTTATAGGAAACTGAAAAGGACCAGTGAGAATTATGAAAAATAAAAAGAACATACACAATTGTACCTTCAAGAATTTCCATGGAACATTATGACCCATCAAATTAAGGTATCCACATTCTCCAACAAAAATGAACTGATCTGAGTAAGGGCAGCATGAAAATATTCTAATGCAGTGCTGCCCAACAGAACTTTCTGTGATGATGGAAATGTTCCATTATCTCTGTTGTTGAATACAGAAGCTATTAGCCACATGAATACTCACAATGTGGCTAATGCAACTGACGAACTGAGTTTTTAATTTATACAGCCACCTGTGGCTAGTGATTACCAACTGAACAGCACAGTTCTAATGCCTCATGGGTCAAAATCAGTGGTTTCTTCGGGGGATTTCTCTGATCACTGCTGAGGGGTGTAGATGGTTGGGGGTGGAAAGAGAGGAAGCTCTGAGCAGCTCTATTTAACTACTTAAACAAGTTCTGAAACTCTCCACAGCTTTCAGAGGCAAGGGCTGAGGAAAGGACTCTAGGGGAGACCTGAGTATGCCCTTGAACTCCTGGCTAATGCCAACGGGAGTAAAAGGCCTAGGATTTGGCTCACGCAGATGGGAAGAGGCCTATGGTGCCACTCACAGAATCTGGGGCTTGGGCCATCTGTGCATGGAAATCGTTGCTGTAGGGCTGGCGGGGAGGTAGGGGTGCTCATTTCCGGACAGGGTTTCCAGGGCTAGAAGAGGATTTAGAGGTGGAGGGAGGACCCGGGGGCCCTTTCTGGCCAGCTGCAGGCTGGACTGGCCCTTTCTTTTTGGGGATTAAGGTCTTGTTCTTGCTCTTGAACACTCTGCTGGGATCCAGCTTGTTCACGAAGCAGTTGGTCTCTTCTGCAAGTAGGTCTGTGTTGTAGGTGATGGGTTTATACATGTTGAACCACTGCTGTAAGGGAGAATTGGGAGAGGTCACAATTCGAAGGAGAAAGGCGATTGTTTATGCTCTTTAGTGGGGACCCAGAAGTAGAGAGGTGGGGAGATGAGGCAAAGAGAACAAAAGTTCTTATGAAAAACTGCCTCAAAAATCTGTTAGCACTTCCTTTAGGTGAAAGTGATGGCACACACATTGCTTTATTAGGTCTCATAACCTTTAAAATAAATTCAGCACAAGGACTAAGAATGCGAGTAAACTTCCTTCCTTCTGATCTAGTGAGCCTGAGCATGGGGATTAGGTCCCAGATCATCAGTGACCTTCTAACTGTTCTGTCCTCACAGCAGCCACTGCCCATCAGGTTGATATGTCAGCACCTTCCCAGAGAAGGTGCATTGACAGAGGCCAGCGGCAGGCCTTGGCTGAGGGAAGCTGCCGGCGCTGGTGCTCTCTTCCCCTTCTGGGCAAAGAGCATCATATTTATTGACCTCACGATGTTTACTGGATGGATGTTAGGTGATATTTGGGCAAAGTGAGGCCCACCAGATGAATACATACATGGAGCTGAGTCCCTAGTTCACTGCCACCCCAGCCAAAGTTCTTCCAGGCACACCTGGTCTCAAACTAGGGGGTATATGAGCATTTCCAGGCAACTCTATGTTTGAAATATTGCCCAGATCTGTAACATAAACAAGGCACATCCATACAGTGGAATATTCTGTATCACTAAAAAGGACAATTCTGTATGTACTGATAGGGAATGAACCCCAAGATGGAGTGTTAGTGAAAAGAAGGTGCATAACGATGTGAGAAGTATAGTGCGCTTGTGATTTAGGAAAAAAGGAACCAAAAATCATATGCATGCATGCTTTCTATGCAGTAAAATACCCTGCAAAAAGCACAAGAAAAATGCAAACAGTGGCTGCCTCTGGGGGAGGCTGGAGAGCCTGGGAATCAGACTGACTTTCCACTCTTCCTGTGTGCCCGCACTGCCTATCTAAAACCAACACTCAGACCTAAGCCCCAAATAAAATTTAATTAGGAAGAAAACTCCCAGGTGATTCTGAGGATCAGCCAAGTTTGGGAACCACTTAGTTCAGTATTAAGTGAGGCTATCCACCTACACTGGCACCATCTGCCTTGCTTAATGAAAATGCAGGTTCCTGGGCTCCATCCCAGGTCTTCTGAATGGGACGGGGAAGTTGGGACTCTGCAACTGAAGCATTTCCTCAGAGATTGTGATCAGCCCACAGTTTGAGACGGCATGTGTTTCTCCCTTACCTTGGCCTGTGGGCTGATGCCGTAGCTGGTGAAGGCGTATTGCCACTGCGGCAGGCCCAGGTGCGTGATGAGCAGGCGATAGTAAGCAGTGAAGGAATCAGTGAGGAAATGCCAGTATAACGCTCTGTCCAGGAACCAGATCTCAGCGTCTTGCGCTGACGCTGAAATGGCAAATGAATGGAAGAAATGAACGGATGGCATAATACTTTTCTCCTTCTATCTGTAAAGTCGATATACTCTCATGGTTAAAAAGAAGAAATTCTAATAGTGGAAGGATGTAAAATACAAGTAAGAGTTCCTTTTTACCCCTTCCGACCTCCAGGCCCATGCTCCCGTGGCCACTGTTAGGGGTTTTATTGGTCTTGTACAAATCCCTGATCAGTCAGCCGACTGACTTGTGCGCTGGGCATTGGGCATCTGTGCATTCAGGCTGACCATTCAGCAGCCTCCTGCCCCGGTGGGGACAGACTGGGGTCTCAGCTTTCCTGATGGAGACAGACGCTGAAAGCCTCTAATTTTTTTTTTTTTTAAGATTTTATTTATTTGAGAGAGCATGAGTGAGAGAGCACAAGCAGGGGGAGCAGCAGAGGGAGAGGGAGAAGCAGGCTCCCCACTGAGCAGGGAGCCCGATGCAGGGCTCGATCCCAAGACCCTGGGATCATGACCTGAGCCGAAGATAGCTGCTTAACCGACTGAGCCCCCCCAGGTACCCCAAGGCTCTGGTTTTCTGAGGGGGTCTCCAACAGGAACCTGAAGGGCTGTGAGCAGCCCTGGGGGGGAGCGCAGACCAGCTCCTGTCCTGGATCCTGCCCGTGCTGTTGCGGGAGGTCCGGGCTGAACTGAAACAGGCACGGTCACAGCAGCTCCAGCCTCGCACTCACTCCTCACCTTCTGTTCTTCCTCCCGCAGGCCTCTAGTTCGTCTCCTGTCTAATGGCTGTAACAGCTCCCTCAGCGGCCCCCACCCTTGTCTCTTCCTCTTCCAAGACTGCCTGTGCAAACGTGCATTTCCACCTCAGTTTGGCCGTTCCTTTACTGAACAACCTGGACTTCCCACTGCCATGTCCAAACTCCTTCCAAGCTGTGCATGGCTTCTGGCTTCAACTCCTCACCCACAAGATGAACCAGGTAGCCCTATGATTTGAAACTGTCATGCTTTCCAAATCCGTTGCACTTTCCCATGGCATAGCTTTACCCAGTCTCTTCGCCTAGATGTTCCCCTTACCCCACAACCCCTCCTGCCCCACCCCTCCCCATAACCCAAGATGTGGATGAAAGGCTACTTTGCAAAGTCGGTCCCTCCTTCCTCTAGGGGTAAAATCCTGGCGTCTCTATCTTCTCACCCCGACAGACTGAGAGCTATGTGAAGAGGGCTGGGCCTTGTCCACAGTCCCCAGGGCAGGGCCTGAACTGGTGACAGCTGCTGCTCCAGGGACCAGAGCCTTTTCCTCTTGATTTCTCATCTGAGGTCTTAGATTGAGGTCTACTCATTCAGGTTTTTAGGTTGTTAACTTGCCTACAGAGAGAAGTACACAAGAAAGATAATGCTTTTCCTGGATGCTTTTCCTAATGCATGAGCCTGCTAGAGGAGTCTATAAACACAATAACTATTTCTTTTAGTTTTTACTCACTTCTTTTCCTACTCCCATTATTTTGCAGTAACTCACAAATGATGATAGCTTAAAGACTCTAGTGATTGGCCAAGAAGGGGATGTTCAGGGAGGACCAAAGGGGCTTTCTGGGTCTTTACATCGCCAAGAGACCTGGCCGCATCTCATGGGTCCAGAGGAGTGTGCCTTTTGTGTCATGACTGGAGAGCAGGGTCATCCATGCCACACCCAACTGCAGGACCATGCTTGTCAATGATTCTTACCTGGTTTCCCTCTTTTGTAGACAAGGCAAACCTTCCCATTCCCATTGCAAGGATCCAGCTCAAATATCACACTGCGAGAATCAAAGTGAGGCTTCTCTGGCTGGTTCTCACTGGCTGCAAACCCAGAAGTTAATAGTTATGTTCAAACATACTCAACTCAAACACATACTTATCCAGCATTGCCAGGGTAGGGGGGAAAAAAAAAAAAACAGGGAAAAAGCCTTATCTCAGACATATTCTTTTTTTTTTTTTTAAAGATTTTATTTATTTATTTGACAGAGAGAGACACAGCGAGAGAGGGAACACAAGCAGGGGGAGTGGGAGAGGGAGAAGCAGGCTTCCTGCTGAGCTGGGAGCCTGATGCGGGGCTCGACCCCAGGACCCCGGGATCACGACCTGAGCCAAAGGCAGCTGCTTAACAGCTGAGCCACCCAGGCGCCCCATCTCAGACATATTCTTAACAACTATTTCCAATGTGGGCCAAATGAAATTTTTAAAAAAGATTTATTTATTTCAGAGAGACAGAGAGGGCGAGTGAGTATGGGGGGGTGGAGGGAGAGAATCCTCAAGCAGACTCCCCACTGTGTGGGACCCTGAGATCATGACATGACCTAAGCCGAAACCAAGAGTCGGACACTTAACTGACTGAGCCACCCAGGCGCCCCCCAAATGAATTCTATACTCTAAATGTCCAGGATCTTATCCAGGGGCTAAGCCTTCTGTCTAGGCTTCTCTATCACAGTGTCACAGAATCTAGGGGAAGGTGACACAAGGAAAACAAACTGAACTTGCTGAGAGTGGGAATACATAAAGGCAAAGTAATCTGGCCTGATGTTGACGTCTCTTTTTCCTAGATAATCGCTTTCCCCTTATTTATAGCACTTTATGATCTTTTGATTAGAATCCTTTTCCATGGTCTAAAATGTATTTATAATATTTAATATTAATTACATTATAATTAATGATAAGCTTGGCTCAATTAGAAACACCTACCTAATAATTAAATACAATGGAGTTCCAGAAAAGAGACATTTTTAGAAATGCAAGCATCAGAAACTTTCTTGCTTCCTTCATTACAGCTTTTATGTAATAAAAATGAGTATTAGTGGGCGCCTGGGTGGCTCAGTCGTTAAGCGTCTGCCTTCAGCTCAGGTCATGGTCCCAGGGTCCTGGGATCGAGTCCCACATCGGGCTCCCTGCTTTGCAGGAAGCCTGCTTCTCCCTCTCCCACTCCCCCGGCTTGTGTTCCTGCTCTCGCTATGTCTCTCTCTGTCAAATAAATAAATAAAATCTTTAAAAAAAAAAAAAAAAGAGTATTAGTGACTGAGGGTGAGAGTTTACAAACCTAGGAGAGACTGGATAAAACAAAGTCTATAAAAAGACTATTTTTTACTTACATATAGCCATATATATAATTTTATACAAATGCATAAATATTTACATTTCTAACTATGAAAATATTTTAAACATGGCTTTCCCTTCCCCTGGAGGTTACACTTTAATACTCTTCTTGATTTCATGTGGTCCTCAATTCACGGAGTATGACAGGTTCTGTCTGGCTTCCTGGCTCTACACTGTGGATTGGAAAACTCTCTTGAGTCATAAGCTGAGGTTCCCCTTCTTTATTTCCATCTCTCAGGCTCATTGTCCTTCACTGCCTGATGGTCAGTGTCTTGAAATCCATTTTTATATATCTTCTCTGTTGTTGTTCCAGGAGGGCAGATAAATCAGGTCTGTGACTCCTATCTTGGGTGAGATCCAAAGTCTAGACTGTAGGGTCCCACCAAGTTTCAGCAGCCTTGCCCTGACTGATGCTAACTGGGGTCTGCCTGCAGGTGAAAAATTACAAAATAGGAAACTCCTTTCTGCCATTTGTAGATGTCACTCCAGTTTCTGCTCATTTTTGGTTATTCTCCAATCTTTTTAGGTCATTGTCCTTGAAGTTTTCCCAGAGTTTCAAGTAGTCTTTACTTGGTAAAAAGTACTCTGCCATTACCAGGAGAAGGAAGTCAGTATTTGAATCTTTTGCTTCCTTTTTTGCCAAATATGCAATGTCACTATTTTTAATTTCTCACTGAAATTTTAGTTTAGTTTTATCCCCATGTGTGCATCAGCACATTGTTATGCCTAATAATTTCACTCTTGGGAGTACCAGTGGATCTCTTTCTTGTTACCTGTTATTTGTGCTGGTTTTGTTCATGGCACTGTGTTTTTCATGTGCCTAGTTATTTTTAGAAGGAAGTGTTTTTGAAAAATTATTTATAAAAACAATTTGAATTCTAAGATACTGTTATCATCCTCTAGGGTAGAATTTTCTTTTTTATATAAGAGCTTTACTGAGATAATTCACCTATCATACCACTTACTCATTTGAAGTATACAATTTAATGGTTTTTAGTATATTTACAGTTATATAACCATTAAGACAATCAATTTTAGAACATTTCTCTTCTCTAGAGTGAATTTGTTTCTGCTAGGCCCCTGAGGAGATTAATAACCTGGAGTCAATTTAGTCTAATTTTCGGATTTAACATTTTCTGGGCCACACAGATGACTTAAAATGGTTACTTCTTTTTTTTTTCTGTCTCTTGGGTACTGCTCTTCATGGTGCCAACCCCAAAAGTAGGTAGTTTTTATGGGTGCCATCCTTTGTAAGGCCTGGACTCTGTTTTATTCCCCTGGTCTCAACATGGGGCAAATTCATAGTTTTCCAGCATCCTCATAGCCTGTTGTAAAAAGGGCAATCAATGTATCTCAAATACTGAATCTCTCCCCCCCCCTTGGATTTCTGTCTTCTGGATGTTGATCTGTTATTACCTCATCATCCTGTTAGCTCTGATGTTTTTAGTAAGGTGGTTTTTATATTTTGCTGACTTCTCAGTTGTCTTCAGTAGGAAGGCTTCTCTGAATTACCTGTCTACCATTTGCAGAAGAGGAAATCTCTTTGTCAGTTTAAGTATGCTCCTAAAAATAACACATAGATGAGCTTGCTTTTTATATCAATCTGACAGTCTTTGTTTTTCAAAAGGGAGATTTAATCCCAGCACATTTAATATCGTGATTGATCTGTCTTGTTTTATTTTTCCTAATGTTTTGTTTCCTAATTTATGTTTCCTCTTTTCTCTTCTTATTTTTCCTCCTGTGATTCAGTATTCCCTTATTAGGTTGGAGATTTAATGTAGATTTTTATTCCTTTAGTGGTTATCTTCCTGTTTTTTTTGTTTGTTTGTATGATTAAATCAATAAGACTTTACCCTTCTGTTGTTCACATAACAGATACAAACATTCACATAATGTTTGTATGACTTAATCATACAAACATAACAACAGCATAACATGTATGTGCTTTCTATCTCTAGTTTCCACTGCCACAAGAGAGAAGTCTGGTATCAGTCTGATTATTATTTCTTCACAAGTAAGTTATTTTTGCCTACAAGCCTATAATTCTTTCCCGCATTATACAACACCTAGATGTCTCTTTTCTCATCAGTCCAATCTGGGTCTCTGAGAGCCCTTTCAACTTGCAGAGAAATTTTCTTTTATCAGTGTTTCTTGCCTTTACCCTTATCTGAAAACAATAGGCCATTATTTCTCCTAACCGAGTGTGGGATGCAGAATTCTAAGGCCCTCAAGATTCCTGCTCCTTAATATCTATACCTTGCAGGACCTCCTGCCCTTGAGAATAGTCAGGATCTGCGAATATGATGGTAGCAGTCACTCCCTTGATTAGCTTACATGATAGGAGACTGTTGCAGCAGACCGAAAAGGCATTTCCCTGCTGGCTGAGAAGTTAACTGCGATGTTGTGAGAGGGTCACGTGGCTAGAATCTAAGGGCAGCCTAAAGATGCTGAGAGTGAGCCCTAGCTAAAAGCTGGCAAGAAAATAGGGACTTAAGTCCCACAACTGCAAGAAACTGAGTAAGGCCAACCACTAGTGAGCTTGGAAGAGGCCTCTGTGCCTTGGATGAGATCATGGCACCAGGTGACATTTTCATTTTAGCCTAAAGACCCTAAGTGGAAGACCTTACTTATTAGTGGCTGAATTCTTGACTCATGAAACTGTTAGATAATAAATTTGTGGCATTTTAAGCCATTAAATTTGTGGTAATCTATTATACAAAAATAGAAAGCTCAAACAAGACACTCTTGTTTCCCCCAACAAGGTGTACTATTTCTTCCCTGTAGTAGGAGGAGACCTTCCACTTTCTGCTGCTTTTCCTCCTTTGTCCTACCTTTTCTACTATTAAGGACCCCAAGAACACTCTATACATTAATTGCTGTCTGTAGGGCTGCTGTAACCAAGTACCAAAACTGAGTGGCTTGAACAACAGAAATTTGTAGTCTCACAATTCTGGAGGCTACAAATCCAAGATCAAGGTGTTGGCAGAATTGGTTCTTTTGACGGCTGTGGGGAAACAATCTGTTCGATGCTTCTCCCCTAGCTTCTGGTAGTTGACTGGCAAATTTAAGCTTTCCTTAATGTAGAGAAGTCCCACCCATCTCTGCCTTCATCTTCAAATGGCATTCTTCCTGTATCTCCAAATGTCTTTAAGGACATCAGTCATATTGGATTGGGGTCCACCCTACTCCAGTATGACTTCATCTTAACTACTTACATCTGCAATAACCCTATTTCCAAATAAGGTCACATTCATTCTGAACTGGGGGTTAGGACTTCATTTTATGAATGGGGGGAGCATAATTTAACCCATAACACTTTTATATCTTTCCTCTTTCTTTTAGGTTTAGCTGAGACAGTATACAGTTGACCCTTGAACAACACGGACTGAACTGCATGGGCTCACTTATACATGGATTTTTTTACAGTGTTGTCCATGTATTTTCTCTTCCTTATGATTTCCATAACATTTACTTTTCTCAATTTATTGTAGGAATGGTGTATATTACACATAGCATACAAAATATGTGTTAATTGACTGTTGTTGGTAAGGCTTCCAGTCAATAGTAGGTTATTAGCAATTAAGTTCTGGGGGAGTAAAAAGTTCTATTAGGATTTTTGACTACATGGAGGGTCAGTGCCCTTCACCCCCGCATTGCTCAAGCATCAATTACAATAGATTTTACAATATTCCTTGCACTGTGTCCCTCTTTCC